GGGACAGGTAGAAAGTGACGGGTGTCTGAGGCTTTGCCACTGCAGAATGATCACAAATTCAGCTCTGCCAGCAGGCAGGACAGGAAGAGGGCTGAGGACCTGACTTGTTTATAGAAGGACCGCTGGACAGGGGCCGGCTGCGCTGGGGAGATAATGAATTGAGGTTTTGATAGTTGTAGTTGCTCAAAAAAGAAGAAGGAAGTCCACTTAGATATCGTAAAATTGAAAAATAAAAGTATGATGGTAGATAAATTCCCAGACAAGACCCATAGGAATGCAATACTTACCCCAAAAAGGATCATTGGAAGAGTCTGTAACTTTGGAGATCAGTGTAGGGAGGCCACACGTGTCCTACTGAAATCATCTTTTGGTGTCTTTCCTGCCAAACATGGGATGGGATCCAGTCCCGCCTGTCAGCTGCATTTGATTCAACCACGTTCTAGCCCTTTCAACAGACATTAATCGAGCATCTATAACTCCCAGCCTCATGGATCAGAAATAAATGGTATAGTCCCTGCTCGTGATTCGCTGTCAGGCCAACGACTGCAACCGAACACGGCAGATGCTAACCTAGAGGTTCTGCAGAGGATGGCAGGAGGGCAGAGGCAAGATCTCGCTGAATTTCCTATGGATGTGAAGCAATCCCTCGGTCATCTTTCTTCCCAAAGTCCCAGGAGCTGGAGTGGATGGGGAAGAGAAGATACAGAAAGTTCAGGACCCACCTTTGCTCTGGGGATCTGGATCCTCACTGAGGCCATAAGAGGTAAGAGTTGAGGCCATAAGTGGCCTCAACTCAGCCACTAAGTGGCTGTGACGTTGGGGTGTTACTTGCTTCCTGTGAGCCTGGAAGTAGGGTTTGGACCAGTTCTATTAGAGTCCCTCTTGACTGCCTGGTGTCCTCAGCTTGCCAGGTCCATGAGTGGACACCAGGGATAATGAGTGGGAGGGCAAAAGCCACTGCCTCCGAGAAGGCTGCCTGGATATTCCTTTTCCTCTGCCTGGCAATAAACTCCATAAACTCCAAGGTCTAAGTCTGGGTGCAACTCTGCTGTGGATCCTCCTCTGACCACCCAGGAGATGAGTCTGTGGCTCGCACAAGCTTCCACTGGGAGTGGAGGTCCTGCTGGTGCATGGGAGAGAGAGCTTTGTGCCATCACCCTCTCTAAATTGCAAATTCCGTGATGTCATCTTCATGCTCCATTACTTAGCACACAGCAGGTACTCAGTGCTCTTTGGACAGATGAACGGATTAATGAAAGTCAAAGTCTCACAGCCTCCTTCACAACCCAGTGCCAAGGTCACTGCCCCTGGAAGTCTTCCCTGTCCCCCAGGGAGAAGTCGTCTTGCTTGTCCTCGTGCTCCAATAGGATGCTGTTTGAAGGCCTAAGTTAGAACAAGGCTGTTCTTTTTCCGTAAAAAACCAGATAGTAAATATTGCTTGGTGGGCCATATGGTATCTGTTTCTACCACTTAATTTTGTCATCGTAGCAAAAAATGTAGTGCAGCTATGGAGAACACAAATGAATGAGCATAGCTTTGTTCCAATAAAACCATTTACGGACACTAAAATTAGAATCTCATAGAATTTCCACATGTGACAAATGTTATTCTTCTTTTGATTTTTTCCAACCATTTAAAAATTAACAAAACATTTTTAGTTCATGGCCTAAACAGAAACAGGCTACAGTCTGTGTGTGTCCTGCAGGCCACAGTGCACCAACACCTGCTGGAGAACTTATCAAGATCGACTTGTTAATAGGTTTATTTTTGGTCTCTCCTAGTAGTCTATAAAAAGAGCAGAATAATTAAGAACACAGCCTGTGGACACAGACGGGTCTGTATTAAAATTCTGAGTCTAGATTCCTTCTCTTCCTTTTTCCCTTTCAGCCAAAGTCACTAGGCAGGCCGCGGACGGCTGGAAGCCAGCCCAGCGGTGGCCAGGACTCACACAAGGAGGGCGTATCGGTCTCCCAGGCCTGTCGTCACAGAAACTGGGGGGCTTGAAACCACAGAAATGTATCGTCTCACTCTCCCGGAGGCTGGAAGTCCAAAATCGAGGTGCCAGAGGGGCCACGTGCTCTCTGATAGCTCCAAGGGGGAATCCTTCTTGGTCTCCTACAGCTTCTGGTGGTTCCCGGCAATCGTGGAGAGCCTTGGCTTGTAGACGCATCACTCTGATCCCATGGCCATCTGCTCCCAGTGTGTCCTCATGTCGTCTTCCCTCGAGGGCCATCTGTGTTTAAACTTCCCCTTTGTACAAGAACACCAGTCATACTGGATTAGGCCCACCCTAAAGTCCTCATGTTGACCTGATCGCCTCTGTGAAGACCCTATTCTGAGCTACTAGGAGTTAGGACTTCAGGGTATCTTTTTGGGAGGCACAATCCAAACCTGAGCAGAGGATGTCAGTGCGGGGAGGTGGGCTCTATGCGAGAGGGGAGGGGGTGAGGGTCTGGGGATGGGGAGGGAGGAAGCAACTAAGTAAACATTCCAGTGACAACAATAGCCTGGCTCTCACAGCCGAGAAGGGAGGTGCAGAGGCAGACAGGGAGAATGCTAGAAAGAACCCTGTGGCGTTGGGCTGGAATTGGCAGCATCAGTGTGAACTTACAGTGTTCAGATATAGAAATAAACACAGCTGTAAATATGCACATTTATTCATTCATTCATTCATTTCCCGGCACTGTCCACTGAGAGACCTGAGGGCAGTGACCCCCGCAGCAGGGAGCAAGCACACCTTGTGCTTAGATCTTGGCTCTGAGAACCTTCCTCCGCTAAGGGGAACCAGAGCTCCCTGGAGAAATGCCCACGTCCAAGGCCGGGGCAGGAAAAGTACAGGATGAGACGGGAGCACCTTGCGGAGCCCGGAGGTCAGGAAGGTCTTAGAGAACCGCGGGAACAGTGAAGTACAGGGGCCAGCCTTCAGGAGCTGTCGCTGGCCAAAGCTGGGATGATCTGAGCATTAAAGGAAATAATTATTGTAACTGACTATAAAACATTTAATAGAACCGAAATCCGTGAGTCTGCAGTGATTAAATAAATGAATAAGAACATGAGAAGGAAATAAAACTCTTCCTTAATTAGCATGCCAACTAATAAATGCAAAGGGAATGATGGAATTTTACAAATCACCATTTGGCGATCATTGTCATGATAGTATTGACTTTAGTTAAGGAACATGACTGCAAACTGAGATCATTGCTGGAAGTGGGAAGAGGAAGCTTAAATGTAGCTCTCAAACGAATACGTATGAATTGTACATACAGTGAGAGCTGGGGAAACGGACTCACAATGGAGAAACGTGGCCGACACCATCTTAATCAAGTGGCCGAGTGAACGTCATTAGTGATGGGACAAGTTGATGCTGAAACCTGATAGGGCAACCTAAGAAGCATCCAGCATCACTTCTGTGTTATTCTGGCCAGAAATGCATAAGCTGGGTCTAATCGTCAGACAAACTGGAATCGAGGGACATTCGGCGAAACAGCTGGCCTGCAGTCTTCACAGGCTTCAAGGAAACCGAGGCAACGGTTCCAAACCAGAGACTGGAGAGCCGTGGCGACCAAATGCGGTGCATGGTCCCAGCTGGACGCTTCGCTGTGAAATCTGTTATTACCGAGACCGCCTCGAAGGGGGTTTGCACAGGAAGGGTACATGAGGGTTCTTTGGGACCACTCTCAACACTCTCTGTATTTTGAAATAGTTGTGGAATAAACGTAGAAATGGGAAACAGTGCCACGTTACCGTCTACTAGCTATGTTACTTTTGACCAGGCATTTTGCTCATTTTGCCTCAATTTCCTCCTCTGGAGTGAGGTGAAGACAGAAGCAGCCAACTAAAGGGCACTGTGAGGGGCGGAGGAGGGGGAGGCGCTGGATCTGGCTCTGGTCACAGAGAAAGTGCTCACGCCCCGGCCATCATCAACATCAGGTTCTTTTTTTTTGAGACAGAGTCTGGCTCTGTTGTCCAGGCTAGAGTGCCGTGGTGTCAGCCTAGCTCACAGCAACCTCAAACTCCTGGGCTCAAGCGATCCTTCTGCCTCAGCCTCCCGAGTAGCTGGGACTACAGACATGCGTCACCATGCCCGGCTAATTTTTTCTATATATATATTTTTAGTTGTCCAGATAATTTCTTTCGATTTTTAGTAGAGACGGGGTCTTGCTCTTGCTCAGGCTGGTCTCAAACTCCTGACCTTGAGTGATCCACCCGCCTCGGCCTCCCAGAGTGCTAGGATTACAGGCGTGAGCCACCGCGCCGGGCCAGCGTCAAGTTCTTGCCAACGTCCTACTGGGTTTCTCAGACCCTACGATGTCATCAGTTGTCAGACACGTTGTTTATATACCACTGAGGGGAAAAAGTGCTCAATTAGACCCCGACAAAGTCACTCAGTCACGTGGCCGACACCATCTTGATCAAGTGATTAGAGTGCACATCCTTAGTGATGGCACAAGTTGACACTGAAACTTTTAGCACTTAGTGAGGGCTCTTTTAGACCTACTCGACCCTGGATGTCCACCCCACGCCTCTCCACTGATCACTTAAACACAGAAAGGACAAGCCAGATGGGCCGGGTGAGTGTTCCTACGACTTCTTCGCATTTGGAGCCTGGTGTCATTGAGTCACCTTGACTCGGAGCCTCCGTGTCTTTGTTTTTCTACCCAACAGCATCCTCTGTCCCTCAAGGCCATCGAGGCCCTCAGCCCCTGTGGACACAGCAGAGGCAAGGAACATCCAGACCAGACGTCCAGGGGCTTCGAGGCAGATTCGCACCCTCCACCCCCCTCATTCCCGTCTGCCGCTGTCCCCTCTCCCCTGGGTGGTGCCCTCCTCTCAGGCAGGAGAAATAGGACAAAGCAAGTCAGGTCCACAGTTCTGAGAAACAGGGTGATGCTTATGAAAAGTCATTTGTGCAGAAAGGTCTTGGACCGGCACCGCTTCCTCTTTCTGCTTCTCTGTTTCCTAACGACGTCAGCATAAATAGGAAGCGCGTGAGGCTCACTGCCGTCTGGAGACTCCAGGGGAAGGCTGGTCTGTCCTGCCACACAGAGGTATGGCCTGGCTTTAGAAACAGGGCTAAAGAAGGGGTTGGGAAAGGGGGGCGGTGCAGGGAATCGAGGCCGGAAAAGGATAGGGGGCATCTGGGGGGTGTCATGTGGGCAGCTGTGCTCTGGGGACGCGAGGGCGTGGCAGGGCTAGGAAAGACCTGAGCCCAAGCTCCTCAGGCAGCCAGTGCGTAGCGAGACAGCCAGGGGCGCCAGCCTGCTTGGATGTCGTACGAGGGCTTTCGGGGGGACCCAGCCTCACTGGCCTCACCAGCAGGATCCAGTTGTCCTGGTGGGAGGGACACCTTGGAGGTAGAGAGCGCTCAGGCCTGGGAGTCGGGCATCTGTGTACTGTCTGTCTTTGCTTTGTCACTGAAGCGTTGGTGGCACTGAGAGCCACGCTCTGTTCCCTGGGCTTCTGTCTCCTCATCCATGGAATGGGGAGAGTGTGGATATCCCCTGACATCCTGGCTTTAGAAAGAGACAGAGCATACATGCCTCTGTGTGTCTGTGTGTCTGTGTGCGTGTGCGTGTGTGCGTGCAAATCACAGATGCGCACGAGACTGAGAGGTGGAGGGTGAGACCTGGAACCCTGCTGTACTGGGGCTGGAGCTGGGTGCAGCTAGGAAGCTCACTTGGAACTTGAGAAGGGGCCCAGTCCCTTGCCCGGAGACGCAGAGGGCACTACCCGGCAATCTCTCTTTCTGTTAACTGTCACGCTCCACCCTGAACCGCGGTTGCTTATTTGGGTTTGGGCCCAGGTGTGTGTGGCTGCCTGGGTGGGCGTCTGGGGTGTCTGCCTCGGGTGTGTGCAGGTGTGTGTGCTCGTCCTGAGGCTGAGAGGGCAGGTGTTCAGTGGGTCTGCATTTGGAGACGAGCCCATGGGAAAGCGACAAGTTGCACAGGTGCAATTTTTAGTCCTCAAAGGCCCTGCGGTTATATTTTTGCATAACCGATTCTAATATTTTTCTATCTTCTTTCCTGCTTTTTAATCATTTTATAATGAGTAAACCTTTCCAATTAGCTTTTGGTCACTCTTCTTTTGTCACTGATTTTATTTATATTGTTCCAATACAAGGATAAACCAATACTACAGGATAGTTCATGAGTTGTTTAATGAGCATATTTAATGTTAACCAAGCAAATATAGATATCTGCTTTATTAAAAATTAGAATAATCCATACTCTGGTTTCTCTTCAGGTCATATAAATCTTTTGCCTTTTACTAAAAAATTAGAATAATCCAGAATTATATATCATAAAAGACAAAGGCCCTACTCTCTCTACCAATGTATCCTTCCGGAACATTTCCTAAGCATGATATAAGAATATAGTTTTTCTTCTTATAGAAATGGGATTTTTTTTTTCACTTAATATTACATTTTGGAATATTTCCAAATTTCCACAATATTACATATAGATTTAACTCATTAATTAATCCTAAAAAACATGCGGCATTTATTAGCATGGGTATGCCACAATTTACCTAATCTCATATTGATAGATACTTAGGTTGTTTCCGATTTTCCACACCTATGAAAATGTTTCCGCAGCTTAGATTCCTAGATGCAGAATTACTATGCGAGAGGTTGTGTGTTTAAAATTTTAATAGGTGTTGCCAAGTTATCCTCCAAGTAGCTGAACTAACACACCCAAGGTAGTGCATAAGAAGGCCAATTTATCTTTGGGGAAATTATCAAACTTTTAATTTTGTCCAATGTAATAAATGAAAATTATCTCAGTTTTGCTTAATGTTTTTCCTTCCTGGGTTATGAGTGAGGTTGTGCCTGATCCACACATTCATTGGCCATTTGCATTTCGTTTATGACGAACACGATGAAGTCCTTGGTCCATCTACCAATGGATTCTTTGTCTTTCACATCTCAACTTTCAGAGCGATTCATTTATTATGCGTATTAATAATTCATCTACATACGTTGAAAATATATTCTCCCAGATTATCACTTATCTTCACCATGTTTAGGGTGTCTTGTGTCAAGTAAAAATGTTTCAGTTATGAAGTCAAATCTGTCATTATTTTTTACTTTACGGTTTCTGGTTTCGGCATCTTGTGCCACTTCTAAGATGACAGAACTATTTTTAATGCTTTTATTATTTTCGTTTCGACTTTTAGATTTTTAATCCAGCTAGAATTTGGAGGGGTGAGTAATGTGTAAAGCAATAACCTAACTTTTTAAAATAATAATCACCTGTCTCAACGCTGTTAATTACGAATGCGCCATCCATCCTGTCCTCAGTGATGTGAAATGCCGCTTTTGCTTCTGAAACCCTGTATACCCTTGGCTACTTTCCTTACCGTTTTCTGTTTTGTCTACTGTTTTGTTCCTTATTATTTTTCTAGCTAATAGAGCAAGTCTTTTCTCTTTGGTTTGCTATAATTTAGAATCGGTTTGTCAAGCTCATTATAAATCTTTTGGAATTTTCATTTCGACTCCCTTGAATTGAGAGATTACTAGAGGGAGGCCGACGACGGGAAACGAAGACGGCAGAGGGAGGCTCCCCTGTGCGTACCTTCGACAGGAGGGCGCTGACGTTCCTCCCTCATTCCCACCTTGCCTTCGGTTTCCTCCACCTCCTCGTCCGCCAGGGCTTGTGTCTTTGTTCATTTAATCAGAAATGACTGGTGATTTATTAAATATTTAGAAACATCTGTCAGAATAAACTTATCCCCCCTCCCCCCTCATCTGCTCATCTGTTTCCTTTCATCATGAATAGGTTGCTCAAGGGCTCTCCTTCCGTTTGCGGCACCCTCTACCTGGCCATGGTGCGTCCTTCCTTTAAAAGTCTTTGTCAGATTGTGCTACGAAATCGTTTTCGTCTGGAGTGAATTTGTGTTGTGCTCCCCCAGCCCAGTTCCTATCTCTATCATTACATTTCTTCATAAGCTGGGGAATTTTTATGTGTGTGTTTGTCTTGAGTGAGAAGGTGTTTGGTTTTTCTCTTCTCTTTTCACCTCCCCTTTTCTCTCTCCTTCCACCCCTTCGCTGCCATCCTCCTGTCTCCAAGCTTGCTTCCCATCCTTAATGACTTAAACCCTTGCATCTTAAACACATGTATTTCGCGGATATTTTCCACCAGCATTTGAGTTTAACTAGCACACAGATGATCTTGCAAACAAGACAAGTTCCTTAGCAAGTTTTCAGTTCTCCTTCAGTCTCCACCCCAACCTCACAGCCAACTCCCACATTAGGACGATCTGAGTTTTAGTTCAATATTGTCATTCATCACGTATTTATTTATTTTCACTTTATGCAGTGACAATCCTCTTTACTTACCTGCAAGCGTTTTTGGTCTCTTTGCTTCAGTATTGCATCCTATCATTCTTTCTTGGAATTTTTTTTTTCCTGAGATATATCCTAGAGCAATTTTTTTCCGGAAAAGATCTGAGAAACTTTCTTTGTCCTTACATATCCAAAATATTTTCTTGCCCTTGAATGTCAGAGAAAGCTTGGCATTTTGTGATTCTATGTTTAAACATATTTTCCCTTGGTACTTTCAAGACGTCTATTTAGAGCTCAGGGTCACTGATAAATCTCTTGCCAACCTCACCCTTGTTCCCCTGACAGTAACCTGTGTGTTTGTTTTCTTCTGGAAGGTTTTCCAGGATTGCCCTTTTATTCTCAGAAGATTGAAAGTTTATGAGCGTGAACTGGGAATGGCACTATTAAAAAGCAATCTTGACAGTTAAGCCCAATCTCTGTTCCCTCCTACAAAGCCCTAGTTTAGTAGTAACCCCCCTTGAATAAGGTCTTCCTTATTATCTTTTTTTTTGGAGACCGAGTCTTACTCCGTTGCCTAGACTAGGGTGCAGTGGGATCATCCTAGCTCACAGCAACCTCAGACTCCTGGGCTCAAGTGATCCTACTGCCTCAGCCTCCCGAGTAGCTGGGTCAACAGGCACATGTCACCATGCCCAGGTAATTTTTGTATTTTTAGTAGAGAGAGAGTCTCACTCTTGCTCAGTCTGGTCTTGAACTCCTGAACTCAAGCAATCCTCCTGCCTAGGCCTCCCAGAGTGCTAGGATTACAGGCATTAGCCACCAGGCCCAGCCCTTATTATCTTTTAAAAATATTTTTGGAAAAGAACCTTGTTCTTTATTTAGTGGACTGTTGTCTCTTTGAAAGCCCTGTGAAGTTTTCTTCTATTTCCAATTGTATCTATTTTGTTGCACAAATCTCCAAACAGCAGTGCCTTAACAACATAGAAGCTTCTTTTTCCCCTCACACAAAGGATATGCAGAGGTGGGCAGCCTCAGGCAGGTATGGTTGCTCCAGAGTGACAGCAGGAATCCAGCTTCCTCTCTGCCGAATCATCCTTGCATATGGCTTCCATCCTCAAGGTAACCTCATGGTCCAAAATGGCTGCTAGAGCTCCAGCTGTCACTTCCAGGTTGCAAACTGGAAGAAAGAGGAAAGGCAAAAGGGCAAAACTGGACCCCTCCCACCTGAGTCAACTGCTTTTAAGCAGGCTGTTTTGGAAGACATGCACAGTGCTTCCACTCACATCTTCTCAGACAGTATTTAGTCACTTGACCATACTTTGCAGCAGGAGAGCATAAGAAATATAACCTGTTATTCTGTGCAGCAATAAACCCAGGTGAAACCTAGGCTTTGTTGCCAGGAGAACGGGGACAGCTGGGTACTGACACTGTCTGCTATACCTGCCCTCAATTCTCTCCGCCCGCTGCTTCTGGTTGTTGGAATTCTTGGATCTCTTTCCCAAGTCTTAACTTTTCTCTAAAACTTTTCATCTCCTTGCCTATTTGCTCTGTCTTTAATATCTACCTTTTCCATTTGTGGAGTTCATCTGGAATGTGGCCCATTATTGAGATTTTTTAAAATTATGGATCTTAAATCTTCAAATTCCAAGAACTCTGTTTATCTGTTCTTTGCACGGCAGTCTCTTCTTTTAAATGGCCGTGATTTCTCAAATCTCCCAGAGGATGCCTGTTTAGATGCTTTAAAGGTTTCTTTTATCTTTGCTGTAACTGTGCACGTCTGTAGAAGTGTGTGTTGAATCAGTACGTGCCGGGATAGACATGCACGGTACTGGTGACTGGGAAATGCGATCGCAGAGCGGTCCAAGATACAGAGTCTAGAGCCAGCCTGTGTGGGCTTCAATCCAGCCTGTTCCTTACCAGCTGTGTAACTGTGGGCGAGTTACTTAGCATCCCTACCCCTGTTTCCCCATCTATACAGTGAGGAGCTAATGGTAACCTATACATAGATGCGTTAGTATCTGCAAAGCCCTTTGAGCAGTGCCCGGTTCGTGGTAAGCGTTAAAATATTGTTAGCCACTGGCATGAATTCTCTCCGTGTATGTGAATGTTCTGTTTATTTTCTTTGATGACATTAATTCGTTTTAACCTTTTGCAGTGAAGGACACTAACTTGTCCTCTATAATTTTGTTTGCTATGGTCTGTATGTTTGTGTTGCCCCAAAATTCGCATGTTGAAACCTAATCCCCAAAGTGAGGCTATCTGGAGTGCTTTTGTGGGACACGATTGGCACCTCTGAAAGGCCCCAGAGGGCTTCCTCACCCCTTCCACCACGTGCACTTACAGCGAGAAGTCTAGAGGAACAGGCCCTCACCAGGTATTAAATCTGCCCTGGCCTTGATCTTGAACTTTCCAGACTTCAGAACTGCGAGAGACAAATGTCTGTTGTTTATAAGGTGCCCGGTCGATGTTATTTTGTTATAGTTGCCCCACCGGATTAATATATTGGCACAAATTCTTTTTTTTTTTTTTTTTTTTGCACTCTGTCCTTTCCTTTATGGTTCAGTAAATTGTATAAAATACAGAAGATTTCGCTTTTATTCACTTCTATCTGTCAGCCTTTGGCTTCTACTGCTTTTAAGCTTAAATAGTTCAAAGGTATTCGCATCTATGGCTTGCAAGTTTAATATGATTTCGCTTTTTACATTTAAACTTTTAATTAACTTGATATTCGGAGGATGGTGTGACATGGAGATTTAGACTGATGGTTTTTATTTAGCTGTTCAATTGTCTCAGCATTTCTAGCTGGACATGCCACCACTTCCCATCGCTCTGGGTTCCTCCTGCCTCACGTTCCCAGGCAAAACAGAGTTTGCTTCCAGCCAGCGTGTGTGCGTGTGTGTGTGTGCGTGTGTGTGCGTGTGTGTGCGAGTGTGTGTGCGAGTGTGTGCATCCTGAGTGGAGTTTCAAACAATCTCACAGAAGCAAAGGGGCCACGGTCCTCTCTTGTCCTCCCCTGGGTACTTCCCGAGCCGGACAAAATGAAAAGGAGGAAATCCCCAGCCCTGCGGAGAAAAAGGAACTGGCTGCAGAGGGTGCTGGGCGACGAGTGACCGTAAATGGTGGGGGCAGAGCCTCGCTCCCAGTGCTCCAGAGAGCATGCGCGAGTTTGTGTGCGTGTGGTCACACCCAGGCGATGACACGGGGCATCCAACACCCAGTGACTCCCCAGAGTAGATGTGGACCAGCACCCCACAGGGAGCTTGCTACAAACCAAATTCTGGGCCTCCCTCTCCGCTGTCCTCTTCTCCTGGGCATTGCACGGTGTTGACGACCAGAGAGGGGACCCACCGCCTCCAAGGCCATGAAACTGTGTCCCAACTGTCTTGCCCAAGGGGATTGAGTCTCCAGGGGAGGGGACTGTCCCCCGGTGTCATGCATCAGGGCCACCACTCTGGGTTCCCACAACAATATTGGGTGTGTCCCTGGGACTATGAGGAGGGGAGGGCTAGATCCCAGGTGACATCTCTTTCTGCAGGCCTAGAGGAGGCAGAGCCCAGAGAGAGGGCCTGTGACATGGGTCTCACCTGGCCCCGAGCTGGGCAAGAATACAACACTCTGGGACGCTGAGGACCCACTGGTGCTGGCCCCTGCTTGCCCAGAGCGGACCAGGGAGATGGCGCTGACCCGGGGGCTGCTCCCCACGGCCCTGCTGGCTCTGTGCTGGGTGCCCAGCCTGGCGGGAGCAGGTGAGTCCAGTTGCCCCCTCCGCTTCCCCACCCCCTCCCGACTGCTGGACCCTGGGAGACCCCACCCCTGCATCCCTCAGGATGCAGCCTACACCTCCTGTCCCCTTCTTTCCCTCCGCCCCCTGCCTGCCTGCCTGGGGTCCCCCCTCTTTTCCCTCCTCTTCCATGTCCCTGCTCGTCCTTTCCTGGTCTCCTGGAACATCCAGCCCCAGCTGTCCAGCTGCTCTGCCCACACCTCTCAGTGCGGCCTTGCAGGCCTCTGGCCCCGAGGGTAACTGCTCCAGCCTTTTGCTCCCCCTCCTTCCCCAGCAGACACTCTGCTGCCCTGACGGCCTCCCAGGCTCCTGCCTCCAGGCCTTTGTCCTGCAGGGCCCTGCTTCCCCCCGGCTCCCTCCTTGTGCCCCCTGCTGGGAAGGTCCGGGGCTCCTGCGCACAGTGGTGCACCCCGGTGACCTCAGAGACCAGCTTCTGGGACACTGTGGGAACCACACTCCCTTCTCCGAACCCCAGGCCCCCAGGCCGAGGGCCAGAGAGCAGGCGGGAGGCCCCAGGGTAGGGCACTGCCACGCTGCAGCTCCAGGCTGGGTTTCTGCCTCCTCCCAGGCAGCACGGTGGGTCAAGGGTGTGGGGCCAGAGCCTGACGCATGTGTCAGGTGTGGGGGGACTCTGCTCCAGGAGCAGCGCACAGCTCGGGGCCCAGGCAGTGTGCTGAGAACCACCCAGAATACTGTGCCTCTGTCAGGAGAGGAGGGTCCACAGGCAGGAACCCAGGAGACCCCTCCCCAGGGCTGGATGCCCCGTAGGAGCCGGGAGGGGCGGTGACAAGGTACCCTGGAGGGGAGAGGGGTGACCCCATCCTGTCTCTTCCCGGTCAGAAACCATCCCGCTGCAGACCCTGCGCTGCTATAACGACTACACCAGCCACATCACCTGCAGGTGGGCCGACACCCAGGACGCACAGCGGCTCATCAACGTGACCCTCCATCACCGGGTGGACGAGTGAGTGACACCGGGGGCAGGGGACCGGTCAGGGGGCTGCCGTGTCTGCTGTGCCTGGCCTGGGGCTGTGGCGTGGAGAGGGACGTCTCAGGTCAGCCTCGAGTGGACCGGACAGAGGACAGAGGACAGTGGAGGAGGGGATGCCCTCCCCAGCACCCCTGCCCTGCCCGGCAGCGCTGTTGTCTGACCTCGGGGGTCCGACATGGGCCTCCTCTACTAGTGTAGTTGTGGTGGTGACAAACTTTGCTATCTCATCACAGTTTGACGAAATGACCCCACATGACCTCCCTTAGTTCCTCCTCACTGTGAGGCAGGCAGGGCCAGGATGAGGAAACCGAGGCCGTGGAGGTGAGGCCCACACCCGGCCACTCGATGGTGAGCCGCAGTGCAGGCCGCGACAGCGTGTCCTGGGGGGCTCCACGGCCTCCAGATGAGGGTCGGCCCTTCTCACCCCGAGGTCTCCGGGGCACATGCCGCCGGGAAGGTGACCGGCATCACTCTGGGATGTTGGTGAGAGACTAAATCAGCCATGAATGAAATGACTGTATAGCTGGAGCCACAGGGACCAGCGACACCCCGTTGGAGGCTGGTCGGGGCGGGGGCAGGCTCTGTCACAGCCCACCGCCCACACCCCCACGTCTGCAGTTCCCGCTGCTGCTCTCCCAGACGCCGCTACCCACCCTTCTCTGCTCTCCGCGATCCCACGCCACCCTCCCACCCTGGCTGTGACCCGCTTCCTGCTGCGCTGAGACAACAGGGGCCCCGCAGAGACACTCCCAGACCCCCACTCTCCCCCCACCCATGTCTGCCCTGGCCCTGGGCCTGGCCTCCCCTCCCAGGCAGAGGATCACCTGTCCCAGCTCCTGTCTCAGGCCTGGGCCTGGGTCCCACCTGCTCTTGCTGCTCAAGGACGTCACTGCCACCCCAGTGCCCACTCTCGCTGTGCCAGCAGCGGTGCCTCTGCTGGGATCCTTCCCAATCACCGTGCAAATGCACCCTGACCCCCCTTACAGATGCCAACAAGGACGCAGCCCCCGGGCGGCTCCCGGCCCCCAGCCATGCAGCCCCAGCCTCCCTCTGTTTCCCTGGACAGCGACGCCCTCCACTCTTCCTGGGGACCTGCCTGGAACGCACTCAATCAGGCTTTCAGCCCCACGCTTTCAGCCGACCCCTTTGTCGAGCTCACCAGTGACTGCCTGTGCTGACCCTAAAGGTCAATCCCCAGCCCTCTTACACTGACCCGTCAGGGCTATGACCCGCCCTATTAGAGTCACACTCTCTTCTTGGCCTGCGGTCACTCCACTGCCTGGTGGTCCTCCTGCCTCCCGGCCCCCCATCTCCTCTGCTCCTTCCTCCTTGTCCCCTGCCTCTGCACCAGACGCTCCAGGGCTTAGTCACGGGCCCAGCCCTGGTGTCACACGCTCTGACACCTTCCCTGACATCCATCTCCGGCTGCACCCTTGTCCCGTCAAGCCCACACCCCGCTTCCCTGCTTCACGTAGCTACACGAGGTTTCTCCATCTGACGAACTGCGCATGTCGTTCCTGTTTAACGTGTGTCTGCTTCCCCCAGGGTGCCAGCTCCGCGCAGGGGTTTGTGTGTGTTTTGGTCACTGCCAGGCCCTGACTCCGGACAAAGACAGGCACATGGCAGCCACCCCATGTGCACTGGATGAGTGAGTGACCCTCAGTCACTCCGGGCTGAGCCATGTCCTCTCCTGACAGTGAGCCCCTGGAGCCAGTGTCCTGCGAACTCAGTGAGGACATGCCCTGGGCGGACTGCCCGTCTCCCCACTGCGTGCCCCGCAGATGTGTCATTCCCAACAAGACCTTCGTCCTCGCCGACAAAGACTACTTCTCATTCCAACCAGACCGGCCCCTGGGCGTCCAGCTCACCGTCTCTCTGGCCCAGCATGGTGAGGGCTGGGTCCCTGTCTAGACAGTGGGCATCAGGGGTGGCCCAGGGAGTGTTCACGGGGGAGACACTGGCTCGGGGGTGGGTTTGGGGCCTTGAGGGATGAGGATCTGGTCTCCTGACGGTGGAGGTGTGGGGGCCGGTACCATATGGGGAGCCCCTGCCAAAAAGGGACCTTCCCTGCCCCCAGCTGCCCCCACCTCCTCCCAAGCCATGGGTTCCAGCTCTGAAGGTTTCCCTTCAAGAAAGCCATTCTGATGACTCACGTAGAAACTTACCAATTTACAAAAGTCTTCCCTCTTACTCGTCTCAACGTGTTTCTGCAGCGACCCCATTATATGGATGAGGCCCTCAAGGCCCAGAGAGGTCACATCATTTTCCCAGAGTCCCACCCCTGAGCAGTAGCGACAGTGAAGGGCCAGCCTTCCCGAGGGCTTCCTGCATGCTGGACACAGAGCTGGTGGCCCCAGGAGTGCTGGGAGCCCACGGCGGCCCGTGAAATGGTCCGTGGCGTTTCATGGGTGTAGATGATCGTTTCATATAGTTAGGGTTTCTTGGACTCTATGTTAGAAAGAAATGTAACCAGCACTTCGAATTCATGGATTCAAGGAAATTATTACTTAGATAAGGCTAAATAAAAAGTGGAGGCATTTTGTAAACGTTTGCATTGACGTGGCAAAAGCCATGCAGGTGGCAGGCTGTCGGCAGACACCGCGGCTCTCGCGTAACTCTCCAAGCAACTCTAGGCTGGGCACTGCTCTCGCCGTCTTTTGGCTGCTTATGAAAGGGACACAGAGAGGGAGGTGATTTGCCAAGGCCTCCTAGCTGCTGCTGGCTGCGCTGAGATTCCCACCCGGTAAGGTCTGACTCTCGGGCCTCCGATCCTAGCCCCGGGGCCACCCTACCGCTCTGGCAAGGGTCAGGTCAGAGGCCTTGGCTTCCTGCCTCTTTTTACGACACCTCAGGAGCCTGTTGCTGGAAGAGGGAACAGGTTGGGCCACGAGGAGTTCACACTGTTTCCAAACATGTATGATGGATGAGAGAGTCCCCTTCTGATTGGAGCTCAGAGCCTGCAGGCAGGAACACCCGATGTTGTCCCGCATGAGAGTTTACTGACACCGGTGTGTCCCACGGGTAGTGGGCAGACGGCACTGGCCCTGGCAGGGGTGTGCCACAGGTGGTAGGCAGAGGGCACCGGCGCTGGCAGATCTGGACAGGCTTTCCAGAAGAAAGAATTCTGTAGCTCAGATCTGAAGGGAGGCTGGGAGTGCAGGGTGGGAAGAACCTTCCTGGCAGGGCTAACAGCCTGTGCGAAGTCTGGGAGATCGGGAGGGCGCGGGATGCTGGGAAAGCGCTGGCCATCGTGTCCCGGGAAGCACCGACTTCGGGAGGGCTGCAGGTGGTAGGAAGAAACAGGAGACACAAGCAGGGGCCTGACCCTGGAGGGGCTTCTGTGCCACGCAGAGGCGTTAAGAGCCACCCTCCAGGCGTGGAGAGCCACAGAAAGGGAATGGCAGGACCAGAGGTGGTGAGGACACTGGAGGCAGGGGTGGCAGGGAGGCTGGAGCCCGGAACATGAGCTCAGGTGCTGAGCCCAGGAGAAAGGACAAAGAATGCCCTGGGGTGTGGCCAGGGAACGGGAACATGGAGGGACGCAAGTCATCATTAGGACATCCATGCAATTCACTCGTTCACTTGTCCTTCATTGAGCACCTACGTACAGCAGGAAAGCAGCGGACACACCAGCCGGCATCCCTGCCCCTTGGAGCTTTCGGCCTAGAAGTGGGGAGGCCACTGGCGCTGGAGCCACCTCACATATGGGGAGGGGAGGGTGGCACTTGGCCTCGAGGAGCACGTGTTCGGTAGGAGGCAGGGTCCAGCCTAAAGCAGACTGGCAATGAATCAAGGAGGCTGAGGCTGCCGGGGAGGGGACAGACGTGCGTCTGATCTGCTCTGAGGCCCCACATGTGGGGATCTGGGACACATCACCTTCTCTATCAGTTTCTCCATCGCTCAAGTAGGGTGGCTGGTTTTGCGTCCCAGTCTGTTCGGTTGGTGGCAGCTTCCTAGAGTGCTGTGCTGGGAGGGGTCCACACTGTGACAGTGTCAGGGTGGGGACTGCGGTGGCCCACGAGTGGTGGCTGTCCTGGCTGTGCCTGGGCAGGGTGGTCCCCTGCTGTGTGTCTGCCGTTCTGGGTCTATGATTCCTGAGGGCTGCAGCTCTGACCTGCTCTAACACGCACGTCCTGTGTCTAGCGTGGAACCCTTACATCCCATCCGTGGGAATGTTTCGTGTCTCAAAGTCACCCCTCAGCAATGAGACACAGGAAACCAGGACTCATGTCATTCATTCACTTGTCTTCCTGGTCGGCCCGGTGGGTCCCAGCAGATGTCCGCCTGCTTTGTTGCTGGAAGGATTTCGTGAGAAGCCCCCGAGGTTGCTGACATGTATTTGTTCATTCATTCATTCATTCAGCTTGCCCCCAAATTCACTCCTGAGTCACACCTCAGGCCTGGAGCTTGGGAAGGGGTCAACACCAGCCCCTGTCCCCCATCTCCCGGTGCCTCAGGGTTGGCAGACAGGAGGACACATAAATCCACCGGGGGTGGTAAGACTACGGTGGGGGGATTTACGAGGAGCCACGGCAGGACAGGAGAAGGCACAAGGGACGTGCCTGGGGAAGGGGATCCCAGGAGGTTCCTAGAGCAGGAGCATCTACCTGGGTGTGAGTGGTGGGAGGGGACCTGGGCAGGAGGAAGGAGCCTGGTCTGTCCGCAGCGCCCTCTGCTGGGAGCCTCAGGACACGGGAGGCTGAGCTGGGTTTCCCGGCCCCTCACAGAGCTGGGCTGCACGTGCACGGCCCTCTGCGCAGCTTCCATTCTCCCTGGCGTTCGAACCTGGCCATGCTGCACATGAGGGCTGACGCCCACGGGGGAGACGGTCTTGCTCAGGGGCCGTCAGCCGATGGGGCAGCTTGGCCTGGAGCCCGTGTGTCCACACAAAAGGCCACGCAGGCCCTGACCATCGCCAGCCCTCAGGCGCCCTTCGCTTCCTCTCCCCTCCAGTGCAGCCCCCCGCGCCCCAGGACGTCCAGATCCACGCGGCCGGGGACCACGTCCTGCTGACCTGGAGTGTGGCCCTTGGGGGTCGTCAGCCCCACTGGCTGTCACAGCGGGACCTGGAGTTTGAGGTGGTCTACAGGCGGCTTCAGGACCCCCGGGAGGTAGGAGCCACAGCCAGCTCTGCCCGAGCCCGAAGGGACCGGCCGGCGCTCCTCCTCCAGCACCCGCCCTCTCCCGACAGGACGCCCCCACCCTCCGCTGCAATGCGTCCCAGGCCGTGCTGGGACCCGAGCACCTCATGCCCAGCAGCACCTACGTGGCCCAAGTGCGAACTCACCTGGCCCCCGGCTCCGGCTTCTCAGGACGGCCCAGCGAGTGGAGCCCAGAGGTGCGCTGGGACTCACAGCCAGGTAACGGAGCGGGGATCCAGGAAGTGCCCCTGGGGGAGCGGGCCCATTGGGTGCTCCTGGGACACCAGGGGTCCGAGGGGCCACCTGCGGGCTTCCCAGGTCGCCTGCCGCTGTCTTTACAATGCTGTCCTGGGCCACCGCCTCTCCGCACAGGCCACTCGGTGTCTGTTCACTTTGGAGTTCCAATGTTATACCCACTTTCTGTTAGCGGCAATTGCAGTAATAATAATAGTGCTATCAACAGCTATGTCTTCATGGGTGCTACACATGTGCAGGGCTCACCAACATCATTGTGCTCAATCCCCCACACACTGAAACAGATACTGTCCCCATCCTCCCCGGAGGGTGGAGGCGGTGCAGCTGAGCTGGTTTCCCGTGAGCTGCGGCCTCGCAGCTGGCAGGTTCAGGCTGAAGCTTCATCCCTGGTCTGTTGGCCCCCAGGCCCATGACCTCTGTGTGGTGCGTCCCATGGCGGGCCCCCGTCAAGGGCTGTGGGAGGGATGAAGGAGGGAGGGAATGAAGGACTGTCTCCCCACCAGGGGACCAGGCCAAGCCCCAGAACCTGCAGTGCTTCTTCAACGGGGCTGCCGAGCTCAGCTGCTCCTGGGAGGTGAGGACGGAGGTGGCCAGCTCGGTCTCCTTTGGCCTCTTCTACAAGTCCAGCCCGGATGCAGGGTGAGCGTCTCCTTCCTCCATCCCCTCCACTCCTCTTGGCCTTGCTGTCTCCAGGCCTCCTCCTGTCCCTGGGGCCCCAGCCGAAGCCACAGTCCACCCCGAGGTCTCATCCCTCCCTCCCGGGATCCCTCCCTCCTCCCTGCCCTCACCAGCTGTGATCCTCAGGGAGGAAGAGTGCTCCCTGGTGCTGAAGGAGGAGCTCAGCAGCCTCTACACCCGGCACCGATGCCAGATCCCCGTGCCCAACCCCGGGACCCACGGCCAGTACACCATCTCTGTTCGGCCAAGGAAGGAAGAGAAACTCATTAAGAACTCAGAGAACAGTGAGTTTCCCTGAGCCTTCTGTGCGGGTGGTCTCAGGATAGCACCATTGCATTGTGTAACCCCCCAAAATTCAGGGTCCTGCATGGGCCAGGCTTCATGCTTCTCACTTTCAAAGAAATGCAGTCCAGTGGCCAAAGGCAAACAAAAGTAATTCTGATCTCCTTTTGAAGTTCTCAAGAAGCAATGATACAGCAACTACAATGGTCAAAAGTGTGAATGAAGATACAATGTATATCCCCTAAGAACAGGTCTTCAGGCCCCTGCTCCCTGGCTTTTTTCTGCCTCACCCTGCAGCTCTCAAAGCTCCTGCTGCCCACCAGACCTCCTGGGCTCCCTCTAAAACTTTCCCTTGTTTTCCCTGGTTGCATTTTTCCCTTCCTGTTTTCCAAAGTTCTCCTCTGATATTCTGAGACTTCAACATACATGGTCTATGGTTCATGTTTTACTTGGGGGCTGGGGTGTATGTAAGTACCTTGTTATTCCTCACAGATTTATGTCCCTCAGCCCTGTTATGTAGCAAGTACCCCAATGTAACGGAACCCCCTAAATTCTATTGTGATGATCAAGTCCTACCATTCAGTCTTTGGTGCTATGTCGAGAGCAGCAGCCAGTTTGTCTTAGTCACCTGGGCTTGAATGCACCATTAACTCTCTTGGGGGTCCTTCCTGGTAAAAGGAATTCCTACAGTTCAAGTGTACAAAATATATAAAGGGCCTAGGATAATGCCGGACCCATAGGAGACCTCACGAATTACAGGCACTAGCATTATTATTATAAAAGCCCTTTGAGGAAATCGAGGTTATGAACATCATTTTTTTTTCTTTTTCTGATGAGTAGACTGAAGCTCAGAGTGGTTGAGTGACTGACCTAAAGTTGCACAGCTATTAGTAGTCAAATCAAGGCTAGAATGCAGAACTTCTGACTCCATGCCCAGTTTCTGCTTTCTTTTCCCTTGGCATCTTTCAACCTGGGGGTCTGCCGGACAGATGGGAGGTGCCGTCTGCCAGGGGCTTCACCTTTCTGTTTGGTCGCCATCTGTGCAGGGCCTGGAGTCTTGTGCCAGTGGAAATAGCACTGGTGTCTAGCATGGAACACAGGGAATGTTCCATTGGAGGATGGGTGTTATGACCACCCGTAACAGTTTCCCTCCCTCCAGTCCAGATGGCCCGTCCAAGCCTCAACGTGACCAAGAACGGAGACAGCTACAGCCTTCGCTGGGAAACAAGGAGAATGCAATACGATCACATAGACTACACCTTTGAGGTGCAGTACAGGAAAGACTCGGCCACGTGGGAGGTAAGATCCTGTGCACAGGAACGGGGTGAACAGTGGGGAGGACCAGGCAGGAAGAAAACACCCAGAGGAATTCACCTGCCAGGTGCCTGGCTCCCAGCAGGTGACCCGTCAGAGGGAGCCCCGGGACTTGGTGATCACGACCTGTGTAGTCAGCAGATCACTGTCCCATCTCTTGGCGAAGTAGCTGAGGTTCAAAGAGGTGATGGGACCTGGCCCAGATTAACACCTGAATTGAATTGCCAGAGAGCATAGACTGCTAGGGCTGGAAGGGGCCGAGAGAAGGCTAGGACGAGGGTTTTCAAAAGTCGCAAAGTCCCGGGGACATTTCTTCAGAGAACTCTTGTCTGGACCCAGTGTGCAGCCGCTCAGAGGACAGCTGCTCCTCATGAGGCGGGGGTGGGGGGCCCAGCCCAGGGCTCAGTCTCCTGCCTCAACCCCCAGGCAGTCCTCGGGGCCTCCACAGAGCCCAGAGCAGAAACCACAGAGCCAGCCCCAGACTCCAGGATAGAAATGGAGAAACTGAGGCCAGGAGGGAGGCGGGTGAGTGGTGGAGCCAGGAGAGGGCCCCGGGCTCTTGAACTCCCGCCTCAGAGTCCAGAGTCCAGTCGACCTGCACTACGTCCCAGGAGAGGCCAGAATTTGGGTCCAGGCTGCCCCCAAGAAGGCTGGGAGGTTGAGCAGTCTAAAAATGAAGGTGGGACCAGGTGATCGCTCAGGGTTCTGGACTCTGGTGTTGTCCTGTGTCAGGGGGCTGTGTTGAAAGAGGGGGAGCCCCTGGTTCCGGCTGGAGTGCTGTCCGTGGCTGGGCACCCCAGTAGGCCTTCCACGGGGGAGTGAAGCCACAGCAAATCTGGGGTGCAGTAGCAGCTGGGGATCAAAGGGGAATAAGAAAACCTGGGGCATCCAGGTGGGAGGGCTTCGCAGCTGTGCCCACGGGCACCGGGGCCCTCAGCACACCTGCTGACACACGCAAACCCACAGGACAGCAAGACCGAGGCCCTCCAGAACGCCCACAGCATGGCCCTGCCCGCCCTGGAGCCCTCCTCCAGGTACCGGGCCAGGGCGAGGGTGAAGCCCTCCAGGCGTGGCTACAGCGGCATCTGGAGCGAGTGGAGCGAGGAGTGCTCCTGGGAAACCGACTGGGGTATGTCTCCCGGCCCCCACCCACCCCTCCTGGGACAGCTCAGCTGGGCAAAGGACAGGGCTGATTGACAGGCTCCAGGCCCCACCCCACCTGGGCCTCCTTCCCCCCAGGTGTCGCTAGTCTTTGGAAGGTGACACCTGGCATACAAAACAGATCGTAGCTGAGGACTTGAAGGAGCAGAGGAGAGCATGTCTCACCATCCCTCCCCCTTCAAACGGGGGCTTAGGCCTCTATTAAGATGACCCTTGGTTTCATTAGCCTTTGTGGCAGCCACTACCCAGTGGTTGATCAGCTTGAGTTTCTTGTTACCGTGAAAGAAAAAATTCAAGAGCTGCAGACTAGGGCCTGGGATTGGCAGGTTGGGTCTGATTTCTTAATCTTCTCCACCTCCTTGCCCTTGCTGCATTCACTGGCTCCTCACCTTTCCCCATAGTGACACCAGGGGACTCATAGAGAGCAAGACAAGGTCCATCCAAGAGGTGGCTTCAGACGCAGAATAGAGGAGGTGTTGGGAGCAAGCCCCCGAGTCCACAGCCAGCCTTAGCAGGGGAGGAGGCCCAGGGAGAGGCCACAACCAAGCAGAAAGGAGGCTGGACCAATGGGCTGAGAGGAGGGAGAAGAGGGGAGTCCTGGAGGGGCCCCGCCTATGAGGGGCTCAGGGCCAGGCAGCAGGAAGAGTCAGGGGCTCCTGAGGTGCCTTTGCACCTGCTGGTTCCTCTGCCAGCTTGGCTTTTCCCATCCCCACCTCTCTCACTCTCTCTGTTCCTGGAGGCCCAGCTTATGTGCTGCCTCCTTCAGGAAGTTCCCCGTGATTGCCATGGACTGTGGTCCTTGCACTCCGCATATACCTCTTGCTTCTGGAATGGCTCTAACCCTCCTGTGTCCTCCCCAGCACTTTGAACATTGTGGGGGCTCAGACCAGTGCCCTCTTCTTCTTAGCAGGTGCCTGGCCCCTGCCCGTCCCCAGAACTCCCCAAGGTCATTAGCTTCCAGAGCCCTGTGCCTGCACAGAGCAGAGTTTTGGGGGGATACCGAGCCAACCTCACCCACCCCGCCCTGCCCCCACCTCCTGAGCCTCCAGCCTTTTCCCCCTGGGATGCTAATGCCCCTCCTCCTTCCTGGCTGCGGCAGTGCTGCCCACGTGGGTCCTGGCCCTCATCCTGGTCTTCATCACCCTCACCTTGCTCCTGGTCCTCCGCTTCTGTGGCATCTATGGGTACAGGTAAGGGGACTCCGTGGGATTGAGTGGGAGACCCAGGACCTCAGGGGCCGCCAGGGTCCCCAGCCCAGCTCCCTCCAGTCCCTGTTCTGCCACCCACCTCCTGGGCCTCAGTTTCCCCTGTGCACATGAGCATGGGCGCAGCTGGCCCTGAGATCTCTGATGGCTGTCACCTCCCTAATGTCTTCAGGTTGAACAGGAAGTGGAAGGAGACTATCCCCAACCCCAGCAAGAGCTGCCTGTTCCAGGTAGGATCTGTGAGGGGCCCAGAGGTCCTCTGCTCCCGCCTCCCCTGTCCCTGTCCCTACCTCCTCCTTCCCTTCCTGTGAGCTGTGGCTGGTGGGGACTGGGGAGGGGCCTTGTAAGCTTAGAGAGCGGGGCCGGACTTGGAAGTTGCTGCCTGGGCTGCCCTGGGCACCTGGAGGTGCACAAGCCCAGCCCCCCCTGCCGGAGCTCTGCGTGGAGGGTGGAGTGTGGGGACGCCCCGGGGCAGGGGCCTGGAGGACAGCGTCACTGCTACTGGGATGGGTGGGTGTCCCAAGGCAGAACAGCCCCCCAAGGACAGGACACCTGAGCTGAGCCTTGAGGTGTCCGGGTGGTGTCGGGTGGCAAAGGTCGCTGCAGGCCCAGGGCATCTGGAGGGGAAGACAAGACCCTTGATGAAGGGGGCTGAGAAGTGGGACCTGAGCTGGGGGAAACTTGGGGGCTGAGATGAGCAGGGGGTGCACGCCAGCTTGGGGGCGGTGCAAGCGCTTGGTCTGGCAGGCAGCGCCAGGTTTGCTTGTGGAGGGGTCTCGGGGCCGGTGTGGAGGAGGAATGGGGTGATCCCGGAGGCTGTGACACCCCAGATTAGGGGAATCACAGGAACAGGGACCCTGTCCTCAGGTGTCGAGGACCTTGGGCAAGTCACTGCCTCTCTCTGGGCCTCACTTTCCTGGTGTCGGACGGCTGTGGCCGTTCCTGACAATGTGGAGAATCTTCCCACGCGGGGCTCCCTGAGTCCCCGTGAGCCCCTCTCTGCCCTCCGCCCTCCGTCCGCCCTCCCAAGGCCTCCTCACACCCACAGGCACAAATGTCCCTGCTCTTCCAGAACGGGAGTGGGGGCATGTGGCCCCCAGACAGGATGTCGGCCTCCACCAGCAGGAGCCCCCCACACCAGGGGCCGTGGGGCAGCCACTTTCCTGAGCTGGAGAGGTGAGTGTCTGGGCCCCTCGGTGGCTCCTGACCTCTGGGAAGCAGGTGGGGGTTGGCCCCGCTGTGCACATCAGGGGCTCGAGTGAGGTGGCCTCTGGCCTGTGGCTCACTGTGAAGAGATCCAAGGAGGCTTGTTTGCACTAAAGCAGGAGGGACCCTGGGTGGATATCAGGAAGAACTTCCTCTTCCCTGGTTAGGGAGGGACCGACAAAGGACTTGACCAGAGGCAGGAGACTGGAGCAGATGGCCTCTCCCTGCCCTGCTGCCCAGGGAGGTGCCACAGTGCAGAGGCCTCATGGGGTGGCTGGGAGTGTAAAGCCCCCGGGCCTGGCGCCTGTGCAGGCAGCTCACGCCGTCTGCCCAGGGAGCGTTGACGGCACTGTTGGTAGAAAGAAGGAAGGTGTGAGCAGTGCACAGGCTGGCCGTGAACCTGGCACTGAAGATGCCGGTAAGGTCAGAGAGGGAGAGGGCACCAGCCTGGCAGAGGAAGGCCTTGACCCAGGCACGGAGGAGGAAGTGTGTGGCCAGGGAGAGTCTGAATCGGCATCCAGTGTCCCTCTCTGGGGCTCCTGCTCCCCTCACCTCGCCCTGCTCAGGGGCTCACTGGAGCCCAGGGTGGGCTCTGGCCCTCCAGAGAACTGCCCCCACCCCACTGGACCCCTGGGCAAGAGCTAAGTCATCTGCCCAGGGTGGTTCTAACCTCTCTGCCCACGTTCTCCCCACAGGGTCATCCCTGTAGGCTTCCAGGACATCGAGGTGTCACCTCTCACCACAGAGGACCCTAAAAGTGTCTGTGACCCACCATCGGGGCCTGATGCGACTCCAGCCGCCTCCGGGCAGCCCACAGAGCAGCCCCACAGCCCCCCGCCAGCCCCACCAGACCCCTCGGTCCGGCCTGAGAATCAGCTTTCCAGCTTCGACTTCAACGGCCCCTACCTGGGCCCGCCCCGCAGCCACTCTCTGCCTGAACTCGTGGGCCAGCTGGTGCCCCCGCAGACGGGGGAGAGCCAGAAGCCGCCGCCCCCAGGGTCCCTGGAGTACCTGTGTCTGCCTGCTGGGGGGCAGGTGCAGCTGGTCCCACTGGCCCAGGTGGAGGGGCAGGGCCAGGTCATGGATGTGGAGCGGAGGCCCAGCCCGGGGCCCGAGGGGAGCCCCTCCTTGGAGTCCGGGGGAGGCCCTGCCCTTCCTTCACCTGGGCCAAGGGTGGATGGACAGGGCCCAATGGATGGTCAAGTGGCTCTGTCCACGGGCTCTGGGGGCCCTAAGGATACTGTCGTGGCCTCTGGTTATATCCCTGCTGCAGACCTGTTATTCGCCCCAAGCTCGGGGGCCCTGTCTATCTCCCTGGCTCCCCCACTGGGCCACTGCTCAGACCAGAGCCCCAGCCTCTGTCCTGGGCCGACAGGGGGGCCTGCACCAGCCCCCATGAAGCCAGGCTTCGAGGGCTACGTGGAGCTCCCTCCACCCATAGGCCAGCCCCCCAAGTCCCCACTGGGCAGTCCTGCCCCTCCTGCGGCCAGCAGCCCTGCGCCGAGCCCTGTGCCGAGCCCCGCCTTGTCATCCCCACAGCCCGAGGGGCTCCTTGTCCTGCAGCAGGTGGGTGACTATTGCTTCCTCCCTGGCCTGGGCCCCAGTCCTCTCTCGCCCCGAAGTAAGCCCTCTTCCCCAGGACCCTGTCCTGAGGTCACGGACCCAGACCAGGCTTTTCAGGTCAAGAAGCCCCGGGGCCAGGCTGGGGCCCAGGTGCCGGCCATTCAGCTCTTCAAAGCCCTGAAGCAGCAGGACTACCTGTCGCTGCCCCCTTGGGATGTCAGCAGGCCTGGGCAGGTGTGCTGAGCCCCTCCAGACCTGGCGAGGCGAGTCCTGCCTTCCCTCCTGCCCCTTCCACGGTCACTTCTGCAGAGCCCAGGGAGGCCTCCCGGCCAGGAAGGGAGTCGGCCCCACTGCTGTCCCCAAATCACTCCGCTCCCCTCTCTCTCTCTCACACACACACACACACACACACGCACGCACGCACGCACGCACGTGCGCACACGGTTCAGGTTAATTTATGTTTAGGCTGTGAATTATGAGGCTTTCCATTATACTCCTTCCATCTCCTCCTCGTTTTCTTTTTTATCAGGTTTCCTTGTTTTTGCTATTTTTTTCCTTTCTTCACTGATTTATCATTAGAGTGTGGTTGAGGTCCAGGCTGAGGCTACTCAGAGATCGAGATGTGTCTGGTTGTGTTTAAGGACTTGTGTGGGCTGCCTGTCCCCGGCAGGCACTGAGGCATGACATGATTCTTGCCCAGGTGCCGAGCCAGGAGGCACCGGGTGGGCGCCAGCGGGGGCAGGACTTGAAAGAGCAGCACGGGACCGGGCACGTCCAGGCTGGGGATGGGGGAGCAGTGCAGACCAGCCTTGATTGTCACTCCGAGAAACGGGCGTGGTAGGAGGTGTGCAGGGGATGAACGTGAGAGGCTGCTTGGGAGCTCCTGGGGAGTCCTGCTGGGTGTCGCAGAGACAGCTGAGACCTCACGTCACGTGGAGAAGTCACTGATTGGGCAATGCTGGGTAGGGGCCGAAGTGACGGCCAGGCTAGGACCTGGGGAATCTCGGGGTGGGGACAGGGCTGGGGAGGGGAGAGGAATCCAGAACCCACATCTACTGTAGAAGAGCTGGGAAAAGTTATCGAACAAACGATGATGCCTGAGGGCTTTTAGTCTGAATGGCTTGCTTCCTTCCCTTCCAGAAAGACTGTACAGCCCCCAGCTCCCACTCCCGGTGGCCACGGTGAGGGACTGCTGGTCTGTGTCTGGGCCTGCAGTGGGGATAATGGTTCTTTTAAATTTTTGCCTTTCTGATGCACAAAAAATAGTGGCATTAAATTGCTTTGATTTGCATTATTTGATAATCGTCAAGTTTGCACATATTTTTATATGTATTAATGTCTTGGGCATTGGTAATTTTTAACTAGGCTGAACCTATTTTTTTTTTTTTTTTTGAGACAGAGTCTCGCTCTGTTGGCCAGGCTAGAGTGCTGTGACGTCAGCCTAGTTCACGGCAACCTCAAACTCCTGGGCTCAAGTGATCCTCCTGCCTCAGCCTCCCGAGTAGCTGGGACTACAGGCATGTGCCACCATGCTCAGCTATTTTTTTCTGTATATTTTTAGTTGTCCAGCTAATTTCTTTCTATTTTTAGTAGAGAGGGGGTCTCGCTCTTGCTCAGGCTGGTCTCGAACTCCTGACCTTGAGCCCTCCCAGAGTGCTAGGATTACAGGCTAGGCTGAGCCTATTAAGGTCTTTGTTCTGTTGGGTGCTATCTTTTGCTGATTATGTTTTTAAAACTATTTACGTATGCCCTTTCATGGATGGTGCAAAGTTTTTCCCCTGAGTTTGTGATTTATCACATAATTTTGTATATGAAGCTTTTGGGAGTACTCAGCGTTAAAGCTTCTGTGTTGTCCCAGAGATCTGTAGTGAAATCCTTCTCCACTCGTGGGGTCAGATTTACAAAGGCCTTCCCACTGCGAAGTTGCATTTGTCATCATTTATATTTTTTTCTAGTTCTTTTTGTTTCAAGCTTTTTATGTAAATTTCTATTTCGGAAGGTATGGATGTGAGACAGAGTGTCTTTGCAGCATTTGTTGAATCATCCGTTCTTTGTCTATGTATCTGAAATGCCACTTTTATGACATAGGAAGTCCTCGTACACAGACTTCGTCAGTTTCTAGGTTTCCCATTTTCATTATCTTGTTCTCTTGATGGTTGTTCTAGTTTTACGATGTTTTCATAAGTAGCGGAGCAACTTTTGTTCCACCGTCCCTGTTCATTACAACAATGCTTGTGGTTGAAGAAATTTATAAATAACTTAAATGTTCATCCATACTGAAATTCCCATACCATTTTAGTACATTCTAAAGTAGAGCCCTCTGTTAAAAAATGAATGACATGGACCCACGTGTATTGGAAACGAGTCCAAGATATTAATTCCAAAATATCCGGACGTCGTTAAGGAGAAAAGACTGCAATAAAATATTTGTAATACAAGACAAAACCCTGAACTTTTGTGTCCGTGTTGGAGTAGTTGGGGTGGGTGCTGCTTCTTGAATCCCCAGTTGCTTTGGAAGGAGGATAAAGCTGTTGACCAGAAGGGCCTTTGGTCTCGGGGCACGACAGTGAGCACAGGCTGGTGCGTGAGACACAAGGGACAGATGTATGTGGTTGTGTTCAGTGGAGGGAGAGGTGGCGGTGGTTGGGGGGAAATCCTGGGAAAATCCAGGGGGGAAGAGGGAAGAAGAAAGGCATGAGGAAGAGGAGGACATAGAACGTATACTAAAAAATCATTTGCTGTTATCTGAAATTCCAATATACCTGGGCGTCCTGTGTTTGACGTCCAGTCGTGAGGGTGGAAAACTAACTCAGAGCCTGAGTTCCCCGGCGAAATGGCTGAGAAGGATCAAGTGCTTCTTCCTGGCAGGCCTTGCCCAGGGGATCCACGGGACCAGTTCGTTTGAACTTCATGACTCTCTGAGGCAGAAACTCTCTGTGTCACACCAGTTTTGTAACTGAGGAAACTAAGGCACGGTGTGGTCACATGACCTGCTTGATGATGAGGATGCGAGTTCTCACACGCTGGAGTCCTGAGAGACCTTTCTTGGAGGGCTGCATCTCCCTCACCTGTCTTCCCGCCCAGACCAGCGGCATGTACGTCGTGGTGACTATTGCACGAGGCCTTCAGGAGGCCGTCCCTGAAATGGAGGTAGACAAAAAATGTACTGGGGGGTGAAAGGAATGGCAGGGAACTTGTGCACAAAACTGGCCATCCTAGAAATCCCGGCATGCCTTTGAACCTCATGCCAACACTTGCAGGTAGAGGCGCCATAAACCAACTGGGGTGCCCGAAGGGGATCATCCTCCTTGTCTGTCTTTATCTCTAAAGGATTTAGGAGGCACTGGAGAAGATTCTTTAGAAAGCACCTCCAAATCAAAATTAGGACCCAAACAACAAGTTTCTAGGAAAAGAACCAACAGCTCAGAACAAACCCAAGGCCCATCAACCACCACTTTTTCCCACACTCCATACAAGCGGTAAACATACCAGGCAAGTGGTGCAAAAACTCACAAACAGTCAAACACGAAGAATATAGGGAATTCCCAACACAATCTAAATGCCACGGCCTACCAATCAAATGGGAATTTCCATGTAACAGCCACTTCTCCTCACACTCCAGCACATACATCGGATGACAACACCACCGTTCTCTTTACACGTAGGTTCGTAGCTGTAAGTTCTTCCTTATGTTGCAACAAAACTCACGAACAACAAACAGACAGTTTAGGGCATCCTCAAGACAAAAATGGAAGGGCCTATCAAACAAATGGAAATCCAAAGGGGATAAACACCACCCCAACTGGAAGGTTCAAAACCTTCCCCAGATGGGTAGCCTAGTCCCCCCGTTCCCTGGGAACTGCAAATGAGCTCCGAATTCAAACCAGGTTCCCTAGTTGCACTCAACCTCGTGACTTCCACCCCCAAAAGCAAAACAAGCAAAACCAACAGGAAGGTCTGAAAACCCTCCATGTGGGTGGAATCTGGGTCTCTTCCTTCTCCACAACTCAGTTCAGGTTTTGGGGAGCTGCGTCTACTTCAGGGGGACAGAGACAGGAGTTCCCGGGAGCTAAAACAGGCTCTGGCAGCTGCTGGGGCCGTCCCTTGCTCTGTCACCTCAAAAAGAAGTTGCTCCTACCCACAAAGACCCCCGGCTTTGATCGGGGGCTGCTTCCTGCCTCCTCCAGCAGTCGTGGGGTGCCATTCCACCGGGGCACCGGTGGGCCCACCCAGGCATGCCAAATTCTGTTACCGAAAGTTTGGCACTTGTCCTCAAGGCCACATCAGAGGAACGAGGACAAGTGGTTTGAGGAGAAGGAAAGAGGAGTTGATTAGTTTGCCAGAAAATGAGGAGGCTGGCAGACTTCTGTCTCAAAGTACCAATGTCCTCAAAAAAAAGGACATTTAAATAATACAAAGGAAGTAGAAAAAACTCTAATCTCATATAACAGGATGGTTCTTTTTATAAAAGGGCAGCTGGCATTTACATTGCCCTTATTTTCTGTGGGTTTCTCCTCACATGAAAGGGCAGTGAACGTTTCATCCTAGACCAATGCTGGTCTCCACAATGGCTTTGGGGACCTGCCATGGCCACAGCGTTCCATCTGCTGGCCTGGCGAGTTTGACCTGCGCTAGTTGGGGGCTGACAAATGGAAGCTGGTAGTATTAGTCCTAAGAGGTCTCACAAGAGCACAGTTTGCCTCGGTGAATTCGCAGGTGTGATCCAAATCTGGCCCCTAGCCTCCCTCCCAAGCCCAGAACACCTATCCCCGGGGGCCCCAGGGTGTCTGGACTCTGGAAAGTCCACTCCAATTTACTAAGTGCAGGAAGGTGTTCATTTGTCCTGAGAAATCTGACAGGCAAGCCGGACAGAGCGCAGAGCCGGCCCGTCCAGCATGCCCTCGTTCTGTAGAAAACCTTGCCTGGAAGCCACTTGATACAAGCCGCAGGACGTCACTCAGCCGTGGGGCAGGGCAGCAAGTGTGGGGTGGCATCAGACTCTGACAGGGGCCTGTTGCACTGTGACCAGAGCCAGGCAGAGAGCACATGTGGGCCGGGATGTTCTTTTCCCGAAGTGGGCTGGAGGCTGAGGAGGGCGGCCTCTGCCGTGCCTGGCGTGCCCCTGGGGGCCGAGGTTGGGAAGGCCTCCCCTCTCTGGACCACGGGGCAGATTGATTCTCCTTGATCCTCGTGAAATAGCAGCAGCTGTGCAATACCAAGAGACCGAGATTCGTCAGAGAATGTCCCTTTATTTCCTATTCATTACTTTGCCAGGCACGACCCAGACATCCTGGCACTGTTTCCGGTACTCTGCTTGAATGTGGGATTTTTCGGCCCTCTGGACAGTCTTCGGGTCTGGCTTTATGCATGTTCTCCTTCAGGCAGGGGCAGCACCAGCAGGATTGCCCATGGCCCAAGAGCACCCCTGTGACAGCCAGATGGAGAAGTTCCTAGGGCCCTGTGACATGCACTCACAATTGTCTTTTATCTCACTTGGGATAATGATGCAATCACTTTTCTCTAATTTTTAAGAGAAGCATCTACATGTATAAACAGCAAGCAAATGGAATTCCATGCACAGAGTTTTTTAGCATAATTCTGAGAAGGCAACTTTGAACAAAGGGCTTACAGACATCGTATAATTCTTTCTTTTTAGAGATATGCAAGCTTTTCTTGGAAGGGACATGAAGACCTCAGCACAGCTTGCTTTAAAAATAAAAAAAGAATAATAGTGAATAAGAAAGAAAGAAAGAATAATTCCCACTTCCCACAAGAAGAAAGTCCTGATGCATGAGGTCTTCGGTTCAATGAGCAGCAAAAGATTAACTAAGACAATTTTCATCTGTTCCACTGAAACATTTCTCTGTTACCATGGCTGTGCCAGACTTTTCCCATCGCTATAACTTACGATATATTTTCATATTTGATGTTCTTGCTCATTACTCTTCTTTTCAACATTTTATTGGATCGTATCATGGTATTATTCTTCCAAATTATCATTAGAATCAATTTATCAAGTCATAAAAAAAGTCCTCTCAGAGTTTTTATTGGAATTGCACTAAATTTAACTCTTAATTTGTGAAGATCTGACAGTTTTGACAGCTTTGTAATATTGGATTTTTTGATCCAGTAACTATGGATCTACATTTATTTGGGAATTTCACTTCAGCAAATTTTAAAGTTTCTTTCTAGGTTCTTACTCGATTCACCTGCAGGTTTTTAAGATATTTCAGGGCCAGTTGGCCGGCCGGCCTTCTGTCTCTCTCTCAATCTCTCTCGCTCTCTCTCTTTCTCTCTTTTGTGGCTAATATCTTCCCAACCTATTTTATTCTGATTGGTTATTATTAGTACAAGGGAAAGCCATTGATATTTTTATAATGAATTTATACCTAGTTCCT